GCCTGTAATGATCCATTAAAATATAACCGCATGGCAAGCCAACATTACAAGGGTAATGTCAATCCTGATCTTCATTAAATTATGTGATATATCTTATAATATTATATTATGACTGATTCCCAGTAAATATCACTATGGCAAGTTTGTAAGAGATGCAAAATGCATAAAAAACCAGAACACTTCATATGAATTGAAAATGGTCTTTTTTATTCAAAAAGACATGTTTATATAGTTTAAAACTTTTGAAGTTTTGTCCAATGGCCTTAAAAGTCCTAGATGGGGTAAGAAAACGCCACAGAGATTACAAACCCTTGGGGCTGTTATCACTCCCCCATTCGCAGCCATGGAGATAACGTATATATATCCACACACTATACAGTAAAATCTGAACTTGCCAAATTTAAAACAATGATACGATATACTCGTATCTGTCATAAATAAATATAAGTTGACGCATATGAAAACGAAAGTTATATGCATTTCATATTAAATAAACAAAACAGATTAACATCATTTATCTAGAACGTTCGCCAATCTGGCTATTAAAATTTTGTATTAGAACCACAAGTAGCTACTGAATATAGCGACCCGGTCCAATGTCCAGAAGCTTATAATAGCACAAAATGTTCATGGAAGTATTAAGAATGTACATGTACTAATATAATAAAACACAAATTTATGCATTGTATATCAAACAATATAGTTCACTGTATTGTCAATGTCCATATTACCATTGCGCACGATAAGTCCTCTGTGGAATTCTGTTATCTTTCTACAGTCCAAGAAGAAAGAGCTAACTGGATAACATGCCCAGAAGCCTCACAGAAATGAAGTGAAAAACACTACATTTTACTGATATATGCATTTACATGAAATCAAATGCCATCCTAGCGCTGTACAAGAGTAATCCTCCATAGAATGTTGGTAAGTGTAAGAAAATCACATGAAGAGTTGCACAGTCTTAAGAAAGTTGAAATTAATGCGATTATTATAGTTTGAAAACAAAATGTCAGTTCCTTGCTAGAAAAGTTTTTAAGTTTACTACAATGAAATGAGTTGGTGAGATTCCTCAGGGTATTGATGCAGTAAATAAAAGGAAGTACTGATGAAAGTACTTTATCCTGTTATGAAGAAGACATTGGTATCACTCAGTTGTCAAGCGGCATGTAATTGAATGACAAATCGACCCAATGTCCAAAGGCCATACCTTTAATATTTATTAGATAATTCTAACACTCATGTATATAGTGGAGGTACTCTCACAATTTATGAGATAACCGTTATGTACCAAATATGTTGGATAAAAATGCTTTGTAAGTATCTCTGGTGTAATAGGTAAACGATTGTCTACCCAGTAACTACCTCGCTGAACCGAACTGAACAATTTCTTTATCAAGAAAGATTGGGATGGGTCAGTATAACCAGAGATTTTGTTAATTTAACTAATAGCTGCAACATATGCAGAAATGGTAGATGATGCCAAATTTTGTCTTTACAAATGGGCGATAAAAAAAAAAGGCCAAGATATTGTAGATGGTAGGCAAAACAGGTGTACCAATACAAGTATTTTGGACAAAATGACATTGCAGATTGTACGCTCTAGCGTAAGAACGTGATGTCGCCAGCGATGTAGCATGTAACAAAAGCGAATGAATAGTATCGGTTAGAGTTGCATGTGATGGACTGGTATTGGCGTTGGATCTGTGTCCATGTTAGGGGCCAATTGGTGAAATGAGTTCACCTGAAAACGAGACAGACGGTCACTTAAAATGTTACTTTTGCCTGGAATGTGACGCTTTACTAACTTCATTAGAGTTTTATCTTTACTGGTTTTTTTGTTGATAATGTCCACAACAACATGATTGTCGCAAAAAAAGATGATACATCTGTTAGTAAGTGATGGACCCCAAAGCTCCAATGCAACTAATATTGCAAAGAATTATTTAACTGTAATATGAAAATATTGCCAGTCTGATGGCCACTCGCCTTACATCCATGAAGTTTGAAAGAAACCGCCATAACCTAAAAAAACTTGCATCAGTATAAAACTGTAATTGTGCTGAAGTTTCCCAACGGTCATAAAGAAACGTAGATGTCCCATTAAACGAGTCTAGAAAGATTGTCCATGAAACTAAGTCACATCTAGCCTCCTTATTAAGTCGTTTATGGTGATAAGGTTTCGTTAAACCAAAAGTTATGACAAGAAAAGTCAGAACTGTTGGGGGCAGTTCAGTTTTACTTTGCTTTATTGGAATAGACGTGTCGGAACAAGATGTCAGGAAATTGTTTAAATCATCCAACATTTGTGAGAGTCAGGGGCCTACAAATAAAAAATCATCCAAAACATGTACAACTCCAGAAACTTGAAATGTATGTGCTTAAAATCCGATGAATGGCTGAGCTAAAAGCTTCAAACAAACGGCATGAAATAGAAAAACTCATTGGCAGGACACGGTCAAAATAAAATTTGTCATACATTTTAAAGCCCAAGAGTTCGTAACCGTTCAGATGAATCGGAATTAAACGAAATGCTGATTCAATATCAGTTTTTGCCAGAAATGAATTTGGACCATAATGTTTAATTAATTGAATTGCTTGATCGATAGCTTGATACAAACCGTGGAATTTTCCGGAGCGATTCCATCATTGATCGAGGAACCTTCTGGAAATGACAGGCGATGTATAACGATGTATTCATTAGTTTCTCTTTTGGGAACTAAACCAAGTGGAGAGATATGCAAATTAGTAAAAGGTGGTGTAGGGTAAGTTCCAAAACAACGCCCTTGATAAATCTCCTTTTGAATTTTATCTTTTAGCATTTGCATGTGATCTTAAGCCAAATACGCGCGGCCAATCATATTGCAACCTAAAACCTTGCTTAAAAACATCTTGGAGAAACTTTAGTTTTGACTTATCGTAACCCCGTAGGTAAGTTAAAAACTTGTCAATAACAATAGGGGAAGGCAAAGGCTTACCTTTGAGGGGCTTTACGTTGTTGTCTGTTATTGGACTGGTTAGGTTGTTGGGATGGTTGGGTGTTGACCGAGCCAGAGTTTTGCTTGGTTTCGGATCGTGACCCAGACTTGGCTTTTTGCAGCTATTTGTTACATTAACAACATCTCTGGTTATGCTGAAGTCATGTTCTTGTTGACTTTCCATGCCTTTATAAGGGTTGGGGAAATAACCCTCAATAAGGCTGTACCCAATATTTTACAGTTTGAAGATCTGCAATTCATCACAGTTTCCTCCGGGTTCTTGTGTCGCTTAGAATTGAAATTTCGTTCTTTCGAAGGACATCACAATATTCGACCTATTACTATATATTATATATACGTTATCTCCATGGCTGCGGATGGGGGAGTGATTACAGTCCCAAGGGTTTGTAATCTCTGTGGCGTTTTCTTACCCCATCTAAGACTTTTAAGGTCATATGACAAAAACTTTAAAAGATTAAGTTTTTATATAAACATGTCGTTTTGAATGAAAAAGACCATTTTCAATTCATTTGAAGTGTTTTTATGCACTTTGCATCTCTTACAAACTTGCTATGGTCATATTTACTGGGAATCAGACATAATATAATATTATAAGATATATCACATAATTTAATGAAAATCAGGATTGACATTACCCTTGAAATGTTTGCTTGCCATGCGGTTATATTTTAATGGATCATTGCAGGCATAACGTTTGGTCTTAATTGCAAACAAATACACCTGTATACGTTAATGGAATTTAAGATGACATTTTCTTTGTGTTAGATTTGTTCTTACTTTAATAAGTAAACATTTATTTCCGACCGTTTTGACAACTTTCAGAAGCATGTTAAGGTTATTTGTTTGTTTCCTTCTTGTACAAACGTACATGTGAACATTAATTCAAATGCTATTGTTTGAGAAAAGATAAATGTAGATATTATTAAAACGACTTTTCACCAAATACATTAAGATCCACTTGCAATTATTGTTAATGCAGTAAATTTCCAGATTATTTTCTTTGCAACATGATTTGTACTGAAAATGTAAAATTAAGATAAATGGTCATTCTTGATATGCATTGTCAGACAAATCGTACGCGTATAAACCATACACATATCAGATTCTTGTCTCTATCGCTTTCCTCCGTTTTTCTATGGACTAGCGATGTAGGTACACTCACGCCAAACTGGTCGAAGGCTGACGAAGAGCGAACCACCGATCCATTTTATACCAAAAGTTTTCCTTTGTTCAATTGTGGCACATGACAGCGACACTAATGTGTATAGCAAACCAAACCTCGGCAGTTTTTCTATTACTTTATTTCTATCCTCTCCTTAATTTCATTTCTGTTCTTGATTTCCATGCTTCGTTGGCACCAACTCCTGTGCTGACAGTAATGGGCTTTATCCCCTGGTTAATCAGTTGTAAGTAACTTCTGACAGGTAGGAGTGTTGTGCTTGGTACCTTCAGAATGGTATTCCAGTGCGGTATCATTTTTACGTTGGGATCATTTCTGATCCATTTATTGATGCTTTTGTTTTGTTGTTTGGTTTTTGTACAAAATAAGAGTATTTCACGTCAGTCTTATTTTTACATGTAATATTTTAAAAGCTACCTTACATTTAGGCGTTATCATGTATTTCATAGATGTAGCTGGTACAATGGCTGTTTGCCTGCTTACCTGAATCAGAACATTTCGTAAGAAGTAACATATTTCAGTAACATATGTGGGTTTTCTCCGGGTACTCCGTTTTCCTTCCACATTACGACCCTCGCGCGCGTACATCCGGGCTAATACGAGTGATTGATATAAGTTGTAAAAACTTGTTTCAATATTGTTGTAAAATAAATTCAGTGGCCGACAAATATCTCTTAATAAGATGTGTTTCCACGTGGAATTAATAGGGACTCGTTGAGAATCCACAGCTGAAAAACAGACCTTGAAGTTAAAGATGAAGGCTGTTATGTGAATAGTAGGCCATACTTGCCATACTTACATAAATAAACAAATCGGAGATTGCATTTGTTTCAATCATTCTTAACTTTAATAAATAAATCCTTGCAAATTATATTATACACATGATTTCATAATTGATTTAATTCGTATGCGTATACAGCCGCCAATAATCAGGCAGAGTAAAGCAATGTACCAATACGCTTGATATTTCGTTGTGTTGACCATGCGGGAGTCGGGCTTTCTTCGTGAGAGAGGTCCTCTTATTTGGAATCGCAGGATCCTTCGTGAACATTGTTAACTCCCCTTGAAAAGAATTACAATAGGAGAAATAACAGTTATTCATTTTTTAATAAAAAATAAAGTACTTTCTAGAAATTATTAATTTAGCTTTACATTATAAAATGTATATAAAAAAGCCGCTGTTCTAATAATTACTATATATTTATATTACTTATAATTCTTAACTTCATATACACTGTAGCAGTCTACTGCAATCCTCAGACAACATACATTCCCTTTTTATCTACAATATCTATAACTGTCATTTTAAGAATACTATCATTCATGTGCTGTAAAGCTCCTCAGAGTAATTTTACAGATTATATAGGGCGTTATATAGATGCTGTATATCATTATTATTGAGATATTTTTTCCTGTATCAAAAAATGTGAATTACGACACATCATATGTGTATAAATCATAAAAAAGCGCTAGAAGAAGAAGCGGCGCTAAACTTTAACTCTTATGCATCTTTGTATGGATAACTAAACACTTAACTTATCCTTATTTTGCGTAAAAATCAACTTTTTCACACGAACAGTTATATCACACGTATATATATTACTCGTGTATCTGTAATACCATGATGTAGAAAGTTGTGTGTGGTCGATATGGCACGAGATAACAACCATTTTGTACTACAAATCACTTGTCATATCCGATATGTATACTTTTGCGTGTTTGTTTTTCATATGTTCACATTGATTGCATATTTTATAATAACGCAATCTGTGTTTATTCAGATTCATTAAAACAAGAGAATGCACTCATACTGTTTATAAAACAAGAGAATGCACTCATATTGTTTAATCTAATTCATTTGAAATAAGTCGCTTTCACCACATTCGAGAAAATAGTTTTCGACAAAAGTAAATTATTTGCTCTGGGGGAAATTTGTCAGATACATATATCACTGAAGGATTATAACATTGTTGCCATGTATGTATACATACGCGCATTCTCTACTGCAGTCGTTGGAGTAGGTAACATCGTCATCGCCACAAACAGGCCGGTAGTCTTGGTTACAAACACATTCGTCTTCTTCTTCACACTCTCCTTCGTGAAGCAGATGGATATTGCTGAAAGGTGTAATTTCAGATGCTTCTAGTTGTAGTTAAAACATATATAGAATATATGTATAAGTAATGATAATGTAGATTCATTTAAACTTTTTTACAAACTGAGTACGCGATATTTCATTAGTAGATTTAAGAAATAACACTGTATGTGGGTGCATTATGGTGGAATATATAAAATATAACGAGCGTGAAAAAATGTTGGAAAAATAATTAACGAGTTATTGTTTCAACTATTATATTTAACCATTTGTTGATTTATCTATTCTACCAAGTAAAATGTAACGAGATCATATGTCTTTGATAAGCAAGTAAATTAAGCTGTTCTTTTGCGCGCGCTAACATTTGTCACATTTATCACATGGTCTTTATGTCTTCATTCCACACAACAGGCTGCGTGTTTTATCATTTCTGACCCTCTGTTCATTAAGAGCAGTTGTCGTATTTTGTCCATTTCTTTTTCTATTCGGTCGACAGATGATAAACACTGACTGACGTTATGCTTTATGCAAAATGTTTATTTCAATCAATCAAACCCTTTAGCCTATCGACACTGCTCGTCAACACATTAAATCAGCATTTGATAGATTTACAAACAATATTTCAAGTCATCTCCGCGGTAAATTCAGCCGATCATTAAGTAGATATAGATGTTTGTCAGCTAGCAAATCTTTAAATACATAAAATTAAATGGGGTGCCCTCATTCGACATCCCGAATAGCGTTAGTCTGTTTGAAAACAGTACACGAGCGAGCATGGTATATCGTCCAATAATCCATGGTTATTAACCAATGAAAGTTGTCGTTACATCGAATTGTAAATTACGATGAATATTCTCCTTTGTTTAAACTATAATAAAAAGGGTTAGTGAAAATAACTTAAAAAACCTTGCTTATCGTCAATCGGAACTTAAACACGTGTTTGTTGAAAAGTTGATAATGTTAATTCAAATGCGACGGTGAAACACCTTTTTTGGCTTTTGATCAAAATTAACGTATAGTTTATCGACCATTAAATGAAGGTAATTTCAAGACTTCCAAAATAATAAAAGATATTTTAGTTTTGGAAAAATGGCCTCAATAGATACCTTTAATTTATGTATTTTGATAATCAGCATTTGACAGATTTATGCATTAGCGCGTTTTAAGTGCAATTTGATCAAAGTGAGTAATTGAAGAATAATCATTTGTAAAGAAAAGGTCTTGAACTGTTCAACCGAATAACGTAGCATACTTACTTCTTACAATTTCTCATGCAATCGTTTCCATAAGTTATGCGGTCTGTACCACATACAGGTTTGAAGTCCATTGAACATGCACATTCTCTATCCGGTTCTTCGTCGACGGTCGCTGTGAGGGCGACAGAAACACAGACGGCAAAGATTACCAATGTCAGCTTCATTATGAGGATGAGTCTATCGGGATAATACCTGAAAAATATGAATAATATATCAACATAGTCTACCATACAGTCGATTTAAAGAGTTGATAGACAAATTGTCAATGGAAATGACCCTAGATTAGTAAACTATTTTCACATTTCTGAAAAGGTAATTAAATAAGTAAATAGATGAATAACTATATACATTGTGTTTAGTTTTGCGGATCACACATTGTACATGTTTACTGGTCACCCCAGAGTAACTGACTAACAGCACAACATTTAACACATTTAGCATCTCAATGATAAAACATTATTAAGTTGATAAAATACTTGGTACAATGTCACAATGTATAAATGCTATTCTGTTTTACAAACCTGTACTGGTAGTCTTCAGATCACTTGAGAACGTTTACTGGTCACCCCAGAGTAGCACTATTTATAGGCAGTCATTTCAGTTCATCATCAATTATATACAGATGATACACGTTTATGAATATAAACACTGGTCAGGCAAGTAACATATTTACAAAAGCCTCGGGCCCCTTGGCTTGTTTACATGACAGCACGTTTAGATCTAAGTGTAACACATTTGAACCCGAAACAAAACCACGATGTATTGTATCAAGTTACAGATTGTTTCAGGTAGCTTTTTGTTGTTTTGAAATTTGAATTTTTCATCATCTCCCGTTGTTCAATACTTTATTGATTTAGACCTTGTGTTTTGTCGCTGAAATATCAAATTACTCCATTTTATTTTTCGATTATTTGACGTCAGTGTCTGACAAGATTAAACTAGTATTCAATGTTACTTCATTTGTTGGGGACTTTCCTGATGATACTGATTTCCCCATATTTTTTGTGTGGGTTGATTATTTTCAGATTTTTATTGCTGATATCTCCTTACCTTTTAAAATTGATTATTTTTTATCATTTTAAGTTTTATTTTTTTTGTTGTGTGTCACTTAAAGAATACATTTGTAACGCTCTTTTACAAAATGTTATTCTTTAGTCGAGGGGTTATTGCCTTTTGAAGTGTAATGCTTTACGTTCCCACACAATTGTCCTTAAACTGGTTTGGTGGGGTAAAGGGGAGGGAGGGAGAGGTTGTCAAAAGAAGAAGACCTCAATCTTTACATCGGACATTGGAAGACAAGTGTCCTCATTGTTTGTGATGATATAACCATATATTAAGCATTTGTTAAGTGGTGGTTATAGTTATAAGCCTCATCAAAACGATATGACATAAAATTGTAATAAATTCAAACATACTTTTGTGTATTTACATACAATGAAACAAACGTTTTCCTCACAAACTGTTTTTGTCACCTAACAGCGTCATCTTTAATAAGTAAAAGAAATCTTTTTATCTGCAAAAATTAAAACATCATAACTTTCGTACAAAATGCATGAAATAAATGCATATATTACAGACCTATTTGCGTACTAGTCTATTGTATCGGGTTTTGGCTTAGGGAACTCGAAATCGCCTTGATAATAAAACCAAAATGGCGTCTAACATTACAATCATTTATACGTGTAGGAATACTTGTAAATGTATAGATTAGGTAATGATATGTATTGATAACCTGTTCAAAGATTTTTCGATTGCTACGCTTTTAAGTAAGTTTATATTGCTAGCATAAATTAAATTTGAAAGAGACGACGATAATTCCGTAGTGAGATTGATTTGTTAATCGACTAAGATGAGGAGTAATAACTTAGTATGTCATTGATTGGTGTTGATCGAGTGTCACCTGTAGTTATAAACATATTTTCATAAAAAATCACCTATAATAAAATGCAATGAAGATTCATATTATTTATTCATACATTTAATATGAGGTGTATGAAAACTTCAAAAAAGAAAATTTAGTTTAATTTATTATTTTACATACTTAGTTTTGATTAGTTTTGTAGACAAAATCAGAACATCAAAAACATCCATATAATTTCATTGCTAAACAGTTATATTTCTGTTAACATCACTGATATATCTCCGCATATTCGGTTGTTTTAAACTTTGGTCTTTCACTAATATCTGCCACTGGTGTGCCTTAGTATAAACATTTTCGTTATTATGAGCCGTCATTGGCAATGTTTGAATTTCTTTTCCTGCTGGGCGATTTTATTAGTCTAAAGTCTGCTATTCATTCGAATTATATACATGCACAGTAAAATTACACTCTCTTCAACTATTTGAGAAAAAGAATCGATAGTTTCCAGTAGGATTGCTCGGCAACTGCTGTATATAATACTAAATTTTCATGGTTTGAAGACGTCCAACAACCCGAAAAGAGTGGTACATTATACATGGAAATGTGTATGTATTACTTCAATAATTGTATTGACACTGTGCAGCTACATGTATATATACTATATATTATACTGTCAGGTACGCGAACGTACACAGGTAATATTTCATTGTTCGCACACCTGTAGAGCTGATTGACTGTCACGCTATATTGGAACACAGATGAATGACGACTATCCGGGCCCTGCATCCTCCGTAAATATCACTTATAAACAACGGAAATTGTAAGCGATTGAATAAACTCTTAGTAAAAGTAAAATAGAATGTTCAGAAATATGCAAAAACTGTCATGTTAATCATGGTATTTCACAACAACAAAAAGTGTGTAAAGACTGACAATAACCCTATTATAATGCAGACTGAGTTGGGCTTAGGAAGCAAGTTAAGGTTGATCTGAGTTTATATCCGTATAATGTCCAAGCCTGTCTGGGGAAGGGACTCAGTATACAGACCTTACCCGTGAAAATAATTTTACCTTTCAGAGCTCTGAATGGCACAATGGGCAATAATATAATTCTGAGTATTATAATATTTCTCATTCAATGTTACGCTGTTATCTCAATGACAGTCAGGGTAGTACGTACACGCCGGTTACGGAGCAGTCAACCTATGTGTAGCGATATGTGGCCGATATGCACGAAAATAAAGACATGTCTAAAGATTGATTGATTTATTATATCCGAAATTCGACGTGTTCCCTTGACCCGAAAGTTTATATTTGACATTGGTGACACATTCAGACGATTATTTCAAGAAAAAGAGCCAACATGCTATGTTGAAATTTTGATATGTTACTCCAAAGATGTTGCTCTTGACCAGGTTAGATGGAATGTTGGCTATCAAATATTGGGAATTGAAATTAATTGTTACAATGAAACATATAGTATATATAAACGGGTGCTTAACGGGAAAAGTTACTCTCTACAAAATACCAGAAAAGTGTGGTTGTCTCTGTATGTCAATATGCTGAGTATTTGCTTGTCTGCCACCCATCCTTCCATAATTTGTTTATCTAGTTCGTACTTGAACACATATTTTCATTTTCAGTAATTCTTTTTTGTATTTTTTAATTCGTTAGCTAACGTTTACTCTTACATAATAGGCATTGCAATTTACTTAACTATAATCGTCATTTTAGGAATAATCAGAACTAGATTCATCATATCTCTCATGTCGATTTCGTACTGATCAGATTCCAAAT